ACAGCTACAAGGCCAGATATAATGTATGCAACTAGCCTACTTTCAAGATTCATACAAAATTCAAGTCAAGTTCACTATAGAGCTGCTAAGCAAATACTAAGATACCTTAAAGGAGCAAAAGACTATGGAATAAGGTATCAGTCTATGCCTAACTCAAGACTACTTAGGTATACTGATAATGATTGGACATGATTAATAGACGATATGAAGAGTACATCAAGCTATGGATTCACACTAGGTTCCGGAATATTCTCTTGGACATCAAAGAAATAAGCAATGATTGCACAATCATCAGCTGAAGCAGAGTATGTTGCAGTAGTAATGGCAAAGAGTCAAGTTATATGGTTAAAAAGTATACTTGAAGACATGGGAGAACTACAAAATGAAGCAACAGAGATCTACTGCAACAGCAAGTCAGCAATAGCAATGGCCAAGAATCTCGTAATCCACAGCAGAACCAAACACATTAGCATCAAGTACCATTTCATTAGAGAAGCTGAAGCAAATAAAGAGATAGAGCTCAAAAATTGCAAGACTGAAGAACAATTAACAGATATATTCACAAAGGCGCTACAACAAACAAAGTTTGAAATACTACGAGAAATGATTGGAGTTACCAAAATATGCATCAAGGAGGAGTATTGGTGGTTGAAGCATATTTAGGAATTTTGTAGAAGATCCTAGAATTGCTTGGCAAGCAAGAATAATAAAAAATCAGAATTATCTAGAATTCCCTAGAAGAACTTGGGCACTAAAAATGTTTGTAAGGTTTGTTGGCACATGTAGAATTATATAGAAAAAATCATATGTAAGCTATGGTCTATAAATAGGGTATGAGTCTCTCATTTGTATGTAAGCAAAAAAAGCCATTTAAGTAAAAGTCATTGTCATTCTAATAAAGCTCCTTTTTCCTACCCACTTTGTCTACTAACTTACTTTCTATCAAAATCTTCCATACTACTAACTTCCAACAAAAAGCCAACTATTTTCTACCTCTAAAGTTATCCCATACAAAACTTATTAAACCATCTAACCCAATCTCATCACTACAAGAAAAACCATCAGATTTAATTACTTCTACTAGTCTTCGTCTTCATCTTCATCTTCATCTTCATTGTCAGTTTCAACAAAGCAACTAAGATCCCAATCAGGGTGTTCTAGCTCAATAGCATCATATAGAGCATGAGCCCCTGCCTGGAACAAATTTTCTCTCAGAACCTCAAACTCCTCCGAGTTCTTGAAAGCTTTAATTGCCATAGCTGACTGAGTTTCCTTCGCAGCTACCTCAGCCTTGAGCTTCTCCACCTCGACGCTTAAGCCGTTTAGTTTCTTCAGCTCATCCTTCAATTTTGCATTCTCCTGCCAAGCTTGGTTAGCACTCCTTGAGGTATTCGCATAATTCTTGCAAAGAGAAGCTATCTCAATTTGAGCATCATCCATCTCTTCTCTTATTTTCTCCTTTTCCGCGCTAATGATAGCTAATTCTGTTTGAACACCACCCAGTTCTTCCCAACTCTTTTCCTTCTCCGTACAAAGGGCAACTATCTCTTTTCGGGCATCGTCAAATGCTTCTCTGATCTTCTTCTTCTCCCTGCGAAGGACAACTATCTCAGTTTGAGCATCATCTAGCTCCTGCCTTATCTTTTCATTTTCTTTGTGAAGGTCAACTATCTCTTTTCGAGCATCATTCAACTCTTCCTTGGTCTTTTGGTTGGCTTCGTTCAAATCAACCATTCGATGAGTGTAATCTGCAATAAAGACGGACGCCTTCATCAAATTGGACACAGATGAATTCAAGACCTCCCTATCACTCTTGCTCACCAACCTTTCATCTTCTCTAGTGCCATCATATTTATTCATCGTGTCAACGGTGGAGGCAATGTAAGCCGAAAGCATATTCAAGACCTCTTTTGAAAGATCCTCCTCATCAGGGTCGAATGCTAGTTTCTTCACTATTTCCATCTTCTGTTTCTTAGTGGGAGGAATGAAGCACGAAGGAATATCTACCTTCAACTTTTTGCCAGGCTTGAGAGTAGAGGAGCACATCTTGGTTGGTTCCGCGCCTAATTTCTCTACTGCATTGGCCTTGCCAGGCTTAGAAGCATGTACAAGATTTTTTGGTCCTATATCAATAACACGTGTTAGGTCAGAACACAAACCCCTATTTGGTTCAGCTAAAAAAAATTTATTAAATCAAAGTTATAATCAACAATTAATTTTAATCATACATTTCATAAGATTCATAACTTTTTGACCGCACGTTGATTAATTTTTATCAAAATCTACTAAAAATCTTATTTTTATCTAAACCAAACAAAGGCATAACTTGTTCAAAAGAAAAAAAAAAGGGACGTACCAAATACATCTATTCCTTTCTACTATCTTATCTTCCTACATACCCTCAAGAACTCCTCCCACGAGTTATAGGCACATGCAATGTAATGCTTGTGTTCAAGTATACATGTAACACAAACATGGATATGAGCTAGAATCTGTTGCCAGTTGGATCCAATATATTTGAAGGTCAAGAGCTAGATTTGAGCAAATAAAAAGGGACTTCCAACTAGAATCGATGGCGCATGGCCAGGATGTACCGCGTTGGGAATAGTTTGATCATCATAAGCCAAAGTAGCCGGTATGGCGAAGTGAAGGCTTAGCTCTAAGAGATCAATATCCATTTCTCAATAGATCTATCTATCATTTGAAAGATATAGATCTCTATATGGATCTATCTAGTTGATTTCCTTATGGTTGAAGCATTACTCCTCCTTTCGATCTATCTAGTTGATTTCCTTATGGTTGAAGCATTACTCCTCCTTTCTTGCTTAAGTTTGACAACTAGAGTACATGACGGAAGTCAATATTAAGCCCTGTTTGGTAGCCATTCTTGGCCAATTTTTAGACAGATTCTTATAGTTATACAGTACGTGTATCAGTGAGCCCGCCATTATTTTTTACTAAATTCAATGAAATTACCAATTTGCCCCTTCAAAATAAAATTCATCCTTTAAGTGATGGCAATTCGGTAAAATGCAACTTGTGCAGTCAGAAATTATAGTGCAGTTGGATCCCACTAACCATTTAAAACAAGCAAAAAACTTATTAAAACATGGCCACAATGCACCATACAACCGCTAAATAAACTTTTGATATATTCTAGCAGATATCTTCAGTGCTAACCAAGCCTAACAAGTTCGATATTACGTTGATGACTAAAAATAACGAGGTAATAGAATTTTTGGAAGAGTGATTGTGGGAAATTAGGAAAATAGAAGGTTAATTTCTATTGATTGGAATTTGTGTGTGTATTATAGAGAATACATCTTTTTTTATGTCCTTTTGAGGGACCATTTACCCTTGTTTATAGATATTTTCTTTTAAAGCTAATTGGTTGTCCACTATAATATTAGCTACCTCAGTGTGTGCCATCGCCCAATTTTAGGGTACCTGATTAGCAACTGACGTTGGCGTAGCAGGGCATTATACCCCTACGTACTAACTATGATACGAAATGATTGTCTAGCTATGGGGTTTAATAATTACAACTTCTTGATTGGTGGAAACAGAGGTGCTTAACTTAAAGGTCCCACTTTTTAACTAGGGATTGATGGTTTTCAAGGTGATGACATCATTGACAGAAATACGAGCCCCTTTTTTAGAGTGCAATCATGAGGTTCCTTGATGACGGCTGGTGTTGGCCGACTTGTGTTGGAGAGCTGGTGGGATGACCTCTAATATTTGTGTTCGTTGTCCTAGTTTTTTTTTGAAGTGTGTCCAAGGTGTTTATTAAAAGTTCGGCAATTGCGGATTAGAAAGCTTTCTGTCTAGCGATGGCTTATTTGCATTACAAGCACACATACACGAACGCAAAAAAACCTTCCTTTTCTTGAAGTTCATGGCTTTCTTTTGACAAATAAACGCAGTAAAGAGAATCTATGAGCTGTTTATATTTCCTCAGAATGGAATCTATGAGCTGTTTATTTTTCCTCAGAATGCCAGGATCTTCGCAATATCTCCCTTCACCTAAGAACTTAACAAAAGGACTTCTAAGACTGAGAAGAAGATAAAGAGCGACAGAACTCAAGGCAAGGACACAAGAAGAAGCAACATGGAAGAATCGAATTTAGCAGAAAATATGATCTTACTGATAAAAAAATAAATATACTCCATTGCATGACCAGACAGCAAATTATTCTACATTTACTCCGACGTATGTTGGAAAACAATGTGGGATTCAGCAGTCATTGACACGAAAATACGCACTTACCATTCAGAAACGCACTTAAGCTGGAGTTCATGCTTGAAACAAAGGTGTCAACGTATGTCTTCGAAGTCGGCTAATGCATATAAGAAAATATAAATATGTTATGAAGTTAATAACATTGAACATATGAACATAGAGTGGATCTATATATATAGTAGTTCAAGGTACAGTCCTGGACGGATTAGAATACTTGCGAGATCATGTACGATATGATAGAGAAGCAATCCTAGTAGAATTAGGAGTCATGGTACAATTAAGTGTAAGAATTCTAGTTGCAAATTTCTGCTTAGATTGACATGCAAATAGATAAAGATAGAAGTCAACTGAACTTGTGCTGGAATTAAAGGTATTTCAATTTTATGAAATAGGGGATTATAACCATAGTTATTAGGCGAGCCCTATTTTTCAATCAAAATACATTTTTCAACAATGATTTGACATCATTTCAATCTCATATTTTTCAATAAAATAATTATACATAAATAAATTTTTTTTAATTACACATTTCTTATCAATACACTATTCAAAAATTCATTTTCTTCACAAAAATGGGGCTCAAACAAGGGCTAGATTTGATCCTAGCGTTGAACTGAGTAAGTTATCGAGTCACAAGGTTAATGATTTAGTCGACCAATCGACGGATCAACCTATGGGTCGTTGCTAGTTCATATAATTAAAAAATAATAATAATTTTTTAAAACGAGAAAGTGGGGTGTATATATTATTTTATGTTACTATTGCACTATAAAAGATATTTAAATTATATTTTTTTAAAAACTTTTCTTTTGCAACAGGTAAAAGTTATAAATTTTTACCATTCATATATAATAACTCTGAACTTCTATATAAAATATATATATATACATTCTGCTTAAAATGGATAAAATAAATGTCGACTTTAACTTATATATTTATCAAAAATTTTAAATAAATCAAAAGGAAATTCTTGCAAAAGATAAAAGAAGCGAGAGCAATTAAAAAAGTGTTTTCTTTTAAAACATTTTAAGTTTACAAAAGTTATATTATTGCACTGATAAATTTTAATTTTTGCTAAATTGTATAAACCTCGTAAATATAAAAATTATTTTTCAAATTTTCTTATCTCTTAACAATAACGTTAAACCTATCTTGTTTATTTTTTGCAGAGAGTAATTATCTCTCTTTAACTTTGTTAGAGATAAAATATTATACGGCTCAAACAACTTTCCTACGTACGATGCATTAACTTCTTGTAAATTAGTTGTAGTACATTTATACTACACTTAAGTCTGATAACCATTAGGCTAGGTCTAGCAGAATTGTTCATTCTTTAAATTTGTATAGCATTTGAATTTTTCACACGTAACATAATTATTGTTAATTAATACATTGACAAATTCAAGTTGATCAATTATTTTTAGAGTGAAAAATCATTGATCATAGACAGGGGCGGACCCGGCCTTTTTAGGTTGTGGGGTGAAAAATTAATATGTAATTTTTCAAAATAATAGAATATTAATGAAAATAAGTTAATACACATTGACACCTGGAAAATGTCTTATAATTATATCATTATCAATAATGTTAAATGAATTTTGCTACATGTATAATTTTGTTTACCACGTCATTTTTAGATGTTGAGTTAATGGCGAATAAATCAAATTGGATGTAGGAAGTAAATAAATTGAAATAAAATTCACATTTAATTGATGAAGTAAATGAAATTTAATTTTAATGAAAAAATAATTTGAAAGTAATTCAAATTACATTTAATCCGTAACGATTTTAGAATTTTTGACGTCATCTGCCATGTAAAATTTCCTAATAAAATGATGTAAATTATATTGAAAAATTTATCTCACAAAAATAATAAACGTTAATGTAATATTGAATCTTTTTAAAAGAAAAAGCGAGTTAAACGTCTTTTCTAGTACGTACGTTTGACACATGTTTAACTATTTTCAATATCGATTTGGGCCATTCGATATGACTAGAATGTAGTTCTCGAAACAAGCTTCTAGATGACCTGGGCGATTTGTGGATTCGGAAAATATATGATCATTGGCAAATTTAAAAAATTAGCATATTATTGAACTTTTTGAAATACTAATTTGAAACTGCTTATTTTGATACATCATAACTTTTGCTACGGTCGATCATTTCACACTCCATTAAAAAGTGAAAAATTAGGCTATGAGCACTTCGAAATGATATTAAGAATGCAATGTTCCGACTTCATTTGACATGTATTAAAGTAGATCATAAAACGGTTAAAACAATTATTTTCTGAAAAAAAATCCAAATTTTGTGTCATTTGACCCCACATGACCCCATGGGGTCCGCCCGTGATCATAGATGACACTGTCATCAGTGATCGTCATAATCGTCACTATGCCGATGCCTCCATCAACTCTTTATTTTCCGGTCACACGACCACTCTCTTGTAATATTTCCCTCTCCTTATCTAACGTATTTGTCCTTTTCTTTTCGCAAGCCATGGTAGGAAACAGTTTTTTAAATTTTTGTGTTGCAAAATCGAAGTTATTTTTCCTTTGCACAGCAGGTGTAACCAGTGCCTTGAACATGACTATTTTTCTCATTATTTCCTTTTTGTTCCATTTCCTTGCCATATAACCACATATTTTGTGAGGGCATGTTTTATGGTGAGATATATAGGAATCATCGATGGGACCTCTATCTTGCGGGACACTTCAAATTAGAGGTGGGCGCGGGTCGATTCGTCGAACCAAAATTTTCAGTTATCTAGTAAATGGAATCGTCGGGTCCAAATATAATTATGGAACTGTTCGGGTTTTGTTCCGTTCCATTCGGTTCTGTATTATAATTAAATTTTTTAACATTTATAACAACATTATATAAATATAACTAATGACACATTCAATGATTTTGAAATGTCAGAAACTAGTGGACTACCTTATTCAAATGATCACTACGATCAAAGTTTCGGTTGGCGGAGGTCACAGTTTCGATCGGAGGTCACAGCATCTGCCAACAATTGTATAGGTTTTGGAATGTCAGCGAGATTGCGAGAGTGAGTGCGAGAGTCGAGACAACATTATACACTTTAGTGTAGGTATTTAGGGTTATTTAGTGGGTTTGATCTTGTTGGGCTAAGAAATGAAACAATAAAATGGGTAATTGGGCCAAAATTTATAAAATTAGAAATGAAACAAATTATTGGGCTAAAAATTTGGATTTAGAAACTGTTAATTTGTTTAGAAAAAATTTAAATTAAAATAATTTGATTTATTCAATATAAAAAAATTAGAAATGTTCGGTTCTTAGTCTAGAACTAAATATTTGGCCGAAGTCGATACGAAGTCACTTTAATCGATTTTCAATTCTCGATTTATTTAACCAATATCCAACAGAATTTACTTTTTTTAACAGTCATGGAGAAATATTCTAAATGAAAATTCGAATGTTCAAGTGGAGAGCAAATTAATTCTGAAACGAGTGTTCAAAAAAAAAAGATGCCCAAGAAGAAATAGAATCAAATATCGGGAGTCAAAGAGATGTTTGGAATAAAATTGATTTAGCAGAATTACCTTCGGATCCTGGATTAAGAACTCCAATTGCGAATTACAATGTTAATGTTCGGGATGAAATCCGAAGAGCATACGTACAAAAGGGTCCATGTTAGCCTCGAAATCACTTGTGTCCACAGAAAGAATTTGGAGATTCGTCGTTAAGACGATTTAAAACTTCATGGTTTAATGACTTTCCTGATTGGTTGGAATACAGTATAGCAAAAGATGTCATATTCTGCTTTTATTGTTATCTTTTCAAACCAAATAGTGAAGAACATGGTGGTGGTGATTCTTTTATTGATGGAGGATTCTCAAATTGGAAAAAGAAAGAAAGGTTTCAAATTCATGTCGGGAAAAGTGGTAGTGCACACAATCGAGCTCGGATTAAGTATGAGGCTTTTGTGAATCAGAAACAAAATATTGATTGTGTTCTCTTTAAGAAGTCGAAAAAAACAAAAGATGAGTATCGAATTCGTTTGAATGCGTCAGTTGATTGTGTTCGATTGCTACTACGACAAGGGTTTTCGTTTCATGGACATGATGAATCAGAAAATTCAAGAAATCAAGGAAATTTTCTTGAATTTTTGCAATGGTTATGTGATCATAATAAAGAGATTAAGGATGTTTGTTTGAGTAATGCTCCCGAAAACCTTCAGTTAACATCACCTAAAATTCAAAAGGACATTGTGAGTGCTATAGCATTTGAAACACTTGATGTTATTATGAGGGATATTGGTGATAGGTTATTTTCCATTCTTGTTGATGAATCTCGTGATGTATCAGTGAAGGAGCAAATGTCCGTTGTTCTACGTTATGTGAATTAGAAAGGACAAGTAACAGAATGTTTTATTGGAGTAGAACATGTCTCTAGTACCACAGCTCTTTGAAGAGGCTTGAAGTTGTTGAATCATTAAATCTTGGTGAAATCTCAAGTGGAAAGGGCCTTAATCAAGAAACTACTCTTAAGCGACCTGGTGATACTCGTTGGGGCTCTCACTATAATTCTTTACTTAACTTGATTATCATGTTTTCTGCTACAGTTGATGTTGTTGAGATGATTGCCACTGATGATACTAGTTGTGGAAAGCGAGGGGAAGCACGTATTTTGTTGGGATCTATGTTGACATTTGATTTTGTATTCAGTTTGCATCTCATGAAAAAGGTATTGGGTATTTCAGATGAATTGTCAAAATCATTACAAATGAGAGATCAAGATATTGTCAACGCTATGAAATTAGTGAAAATAAGTAAAGAACGACTTCAAGCAATGAGGGACAATGAATGGAAATCATTTTTAAGAACAGTTTCCTGCTTTTGCGAAAGGTACAATATTGATGTTCCCAATATGGATGATATGTTTATACCTCTAGGCCGTTCACGGCGTAACACTCAAGAAATTACAAATCTACATCATTTTCATGTGGATTTCTTCTATGCTATCATCGATATGCAAATTCAAGAGTTGAATGATCGTTTCTCTGAGGTAAATAGTGACTTACTCCTTTGTGTTGCATGCTTGTGTCC